TTAAGCAGCAACCAATAAATCAATACAAAATATAGAAATGAAAACTGAAAAACCTATTTTACAAAGTTGAAAGGAACAAGTGAAAACACGTACAGACAGGAAATTTGTAAACGGCAAATAAAAGAACGAAATGGAAAACCCTTGTAGACTTCAAAATTATGTAACAATGTCTTTACGAATTATTAATAAAAGTAGAAGCAGTCAAATATGATACACATGAAGACGCTTGAATGACTAACAAAAGCACTTGATGGCGTTAATGGAAAACTTTCAATACCTTCCCAATTTAATATCAATTTGAAACTTATCCACAGAAACGACTGCTTTTAAAGAAATTAACATGCCATGCAATTCAAATTTGGAGTTGTGTTGATGAACAAGGCCGTTTCCTCGATCGGAAATGTATGGAAATTGTACTTACAAGAGTAATAGATAAAGTATAAGTTAGTATTCCAAGTCATATATGAATATGAGGTTTTATAATATATAGTAGGCATGGCATTGGTAAGTACTAAAAAACTCCCGTATACATGGACGGAGAGGTACCATAACAAGACCGATTAACCTATACTTTGTATACTGCAATGATTTCATCGAATTGCATTAGAAACAAGTTCAAACGATTTTTTATTTGCTGATACTCGATAAATTCTTGTTAAAAACCGTGTTCATAACTTATGATCTTGCTTTTGATTTTTGAAATCAAGGGAAAATATTACAAAGTGCAAATTATCACATACAAGGGAATACCATTTGGTTAGCAACTATCTTAATACCTGTTTTTTTTTGTTTTTTTTAGGAGTTTGTTCCCTTGGACGATGATGTATTTGAGAGGGATCAATATAGAAATTTATTCATTCTCACTGTATATAAATGTTTAATGGGTTATTATAGACCACTTCAGAGAAATACTGCAAATATAACACAACTGAATTTGGATACGGTGCTTGCACTTTATTCTGGACACATGCATGTACTAAAATATTTCATTAACACATGTCAAATTGCAGAAAACAAAACAAGACTTCATCAATTTTAAACAAGATATTCCAATAGAAAAAAAAATGTCAACACATACATTTCGGGACGCCCCTTAAAGTGAAAAGAATATGATAGGATACAATCATATAGTGACAAGCTTTAGACCAAAGATCTAGTCATCAGTTGGTTATCCAGACTTAAACTAACTATATTCTTTATGTATTATAGAAATAGAAAGTATTTTTAATTAGGACATGCATAGACTGCATTACCATGTCTTCAAAATATGTCCCAATTACAAAGGCCTTATCAATGTAAGAAGTATTGAAAACTAGAAGTGTGATCAGGCAGCCATACTACAATGTACCATTATAAATTTTGTATTTATATACTAGTAGTCTGGTACGTATTATCTCAATTGATATATACATTTACAGATGACTGATCATTTTCCTTCAATACAACACATTAACACCAATCACAAATATCTATGATGTATATAAAGTTTGATTGATTGTTATTTGCCTAATGTCCAGTGGCAAATATTTCTAGTACGATATATAATTCGTGCTTATTGGCTTCTAAAGGGAGCATCTCTGAGATTAAATCTTTTTTAGGTACCCTCGAAATTAAATTAAATGAAAACCTTGGCCAAATTCATTGAGCTCAGAAGCCCTATAGTTAAGACTGAAAAGTTGGGAGCAGACCTATATATATATACAAAGTCCTTGTAAACTTTAATCTTACAATCTCTTACTCCATTGTTGGTTGTCCTTTTTTACGCTAAGTCATCATTGTTTTTTAGTCAGTCTGATGTAGTTTGTCTCGCCTGCGACGAAAGTAGAAAAATGCGAGACATAGGGATTACAACCGGCCTCAGCTGAGACAGCTTAAACCATTTGTATAAAGCGTTATAATTCAGAATGTAAAAACCTGGATGCTTCATACCTTAAATGCAGATACCTTATTTTATGATGTTTCAGTCTGTCATATGACCATTGTCTTCGACTTTATTTCCATGGTTCAGTGATTGTTTGAACAAAAACTTGTAGTTTTTTTTGTTATATGAATTACTCACTAAATATGCTAAACATGAGTAAAAGGATAACTTTACTTGGTATATGGGTTCCTTGTAAGGTCTACATGTCTTTCGGACAGGTTCATCTGACCTTGACCTAAAAGGGGGGGGGGCGTAAAGGGTGTAACCCTTCTCCTTTGGTTGAAAATGAATCATTTTTTAGCTTAAAATCGTCCAAAAATTTGTCTTTTCGCTATGCTCCTCGATATTTATTCAGTTTATGAAATTACGCCACGCTTTATAAAATCCTGGGCACCAAAAGCAACAGGTCAACTATATTTGGCGTATAAAATGATTGCAATGTGGACATGTCCGACTGACAAGTTTTGTCTGACCTTGACCTTTTTTCATGGATCAGTGGACAATGTTTTTGTAGTTTTATTCTAATTTACTATAAGCAATAATTCATATATATATGTGAAGTATGGAATGACCGTAAGGTGTACATGTCTGTCTGGTAGGATTCATCTGACCTTGACCTCATTTTCATGTTATTTCTTATTCACTATGACCATTACTAACTTGTAATCTACTTGGAACATCTGCAATATATATTTATGAATAGTTGGATTTTGAGGCCATGTTTGTGACTTAATCAATTCTAAAAATGTTTATAATTTTTTTGGGTTATAATCAAATGGGTTCCAACTCAAATACAGTTGACAGACACTTTCAGATTTGTTTTTTTATCACCTAGAACTGTTTGCAAACTCTGGAAAAATATATGCCTCTGTATTTGATGTGAAGACCGCATCCAAAATCACAAGTTTGTTTTAAATTCTGTTTCCAAGTGTTCACCACAAGATGTTTCCTCTAACAGGATATCAATGCATATTTTAAGGATCTAACATGTCATGCTAGTGTCCATTATAATAGCTAGGCAAACCAAATGAAGCTGTGCACATTTTTTTGGTCCAACATGTCATGCTAGTGTCCATTATGATAGCTAGGCAAACCACATGAAGCTGTGCAAATTTTGGGGTCCAACATGACATGCTAGTGTCCATAATAATAGTAGGCAAACCAAATGAATCTGTGCACATTTTGGGGGTCTAACATGTCATGCTAGTGTCCATTATGATAGCTAGGCAAAACACATGAAGCTGTGCACGTTTTTAGGGTCCAACATGTCATGCTAGTGTCCATTATGATAGCTAGGCAAAACACATGAAGCTGTGCACATTTTTGGGGTCCAACATGACATGCTAGTGTCTATTATGATAGCTAGGCAAACCATATGAAGCTGTGCACATGTTTGGGGTCCAACATGTCATGCTAGTGTCTATTATAATAGCTAGGCAAACCACATGAAGCTGTGCACATTTTGGGGGTCCAACATGTCATGCTAGTGTCTATTATAATAGCTAGGCAAACCACATGAAGCTGTGCACATTTTGGGGGTCCAACATGTCATGCTAGTGTCTATTATAATAGCTAGGCAAACCACATGAAGCTGTGCACATTTTGGGGGTCCAACATGTCATGATAGTGTCTATTATAATAGCTAGGCAAACCACATGAAGCTGTGCACATTTTGGGGGTCCAACATGTCATGCTAGTGTCTATTATAATAGCTAGGCAAACCACATGAAGCTGTGCACATTTTGGGGGTCCAACATGTCATGCTAGTGTCTATTATAATAGCTAGGCAAATCACATGAAGCTGTGCACATTTTGGGGGTCCAACATGTCATGATAGTGTCTATTATAATAGCTAGGCAAACCATTTGAAGCTGTGCATATATTTCAAGCACTGAATTAATAAAGCTTTGCTGGAAAAACATGCCTTTTTTTTTAAAGAGCTTATAGTATCTGTTACATTCATAAGCCTTTATGCTGTATTGATAATACTTGAAAAGCAAAGCAAAATCAGGCTTTCTATCATGGATTCTGAAAGCTCGTCCAATCAAAGGATTGTTAACACTGGTTAGATCATTAAGAGAGATAGCAAAATTTTCAAGTTTTCTAATTAACCAATATGATCAAAATTAATAAAAAGTTCAATAAAAAAGTCATATATCATAGGGTATGCTTCGTCCTACAAGCATCTGTAACAATAAAATTATGCTGAAGGATAAGTGTGAAACCACAAGCATAATAAACTATTTCATTGTCTTCCATAATTTTTTTTTACTTAATATTAATCATTTTTACACTAATTTAATATATAACTTAAAAATTCAAGCAAGTCCATCTTGCAAGAAGCCTACAGCTTTTCTGATAAGCTTGTTTTATATTGGAAATAAATTTTGATGGTGTGCTTAAATCTCATATGACATTAGTCAATTCCATTTGATAGAGAAAACTGTGCTGCCAATGACTTGAATTGAATCTCACTTGGCATTTATAAATTATAGCAAGGATTTGACCATTTCTATTGAAGTAACTTCAATAAGAAGACATAGGCATGTTATCCAATCGAAGTATTATTTAGCAACTCAACACATTGAAGATTTAAATGGAATATCCAGACAACCCTTGAGGAATTTTTCAGTGAAAATTTTATGAACATCTCTTATAAGACATATTTTGGATTGGAAGAGCTTTCAGATCAGTCAACTAAAACATAAGGCATATATTTTATGACAAGGCATTTATTCTGTTAGTTATACATATACATTATGCAATTGTAGCCATTTTTTGATACTGATCGATAAATTGAGCAACAAAACTCTGCTAAAATAGATTGTCATGTTACCAGTTATCACCTATTCATAATTCATTTCCTCAAGTATACACTGATGTTCATTTCATTTCATTTTTTTTTACACTTCAAAAGAAACTGCTTTTTTACAGGAATACGAAAAACGAAAAATTGATTAAAAGCAGCGAATAATATCTCAAGATTGAAGGTTCAGGTAAAGCTAAGATACCAATTGAATGCAACTGTAAATTTATTCTTGGATATTTTCATAGAAAAAAGGCAGTATAACAATTCTGATAAAAAAGAACAAACTTTAATGATATTAATGGAATTTATAACAAACTATTACAAAAAGTCTTAAAATAAAAAGTGTATGAATAAATATATGAGAAAACAGAATTACAAATGCTGGACAAACAATATTGACTACAAAAATTCTTTCACAATGAGCAATTATAAATACATAACAAAGTTGCACAATAAAATGATGCCAATCAAAATTTAAAAATAATAGTTGTCATGCCTTCAAAAACCTACATGGTAGACAAACAATAAATGTCTTTTTTTTTTTTTAGATTGTAGGTAATTCTAGTATTAGTTCAGCATTTCAATAATTTAATAACAAAACAATGTAAACAACCACTATTAGGGGGAACAGTCAATTTCTACAACTGCATGTCTAACTTAAAATGGAATGTTTAATGTTTTCAATTGTTTACTAACAAATGAAATTTAATGCTTTAATCTATGTTTGGCAACATTTTCCTTTCGCGCAACATTTACTTTTCAACATGCACTCTAAAAGTTTTTTACATTAGCATAAAACTTCTATATATATGTTTGTACAATAAAATTTAAATATACAAAGAGTAAAATTACAATTTATGCAAAAACTTTAAAAAACATACATCTTAAATAGAGAGTAGAAATCAGTAACAAAAATAGAAAGAAATGTGGTAGCAAAATAAAACCTTATGTGCTTTTGTGTTGTACACAATACTTATTTATTTAAAGAATACTTTTTGGTAATACTGAATTATATTAAAATACAAACATTCTTACTTCCATAAAAATGATATCACAGTTTCTTAGAATTTTGATACACAATAATTTCTGGACGGATGTATACAAGTCATAATATCTGCACAAAGCCTCCTGGCAGTCTTCAGAGTCCATTTCTCTGAGAATTTTCATGAACTTACCATTTTTTTTTGCTTTTTTAAAAATCCAAATAGTAGATGAAATCAATTTTCAATCAGCTTGAACAATTAAAGGAGCTAAATACTGACTGTGTCGTATTCCGAAAGATGTTGCAGGGGCTTTCTTTTTAGTTATAACGACCTGTAAAAAGAAAACAGTTTTTTGCTTTTTAATCTGCTTCAGCAATTATAAGAGGAGCTAAATACTGACTATGTCTTATTCCAAAGGATGGAGCTGGTTGTTTTACTTTATGCATCCATACCTAAAAATATAGAAAAGATCTTTAGCATACAAGAATATCTATAGAAAATGTATTACATTTCAGAATGGCTCCGTCTTTTCTTCTAAATGTTTTCCTTATAATAAAGTAAATAACATTATGTCAAACAATAATTGACAGCATTGTTTTTCTTTATTTCTCAACTAACTTCCCATTTTACTGTCCAAAAATTTCAGTCCAGAAAATGAAAGAAAAAAAAAATCCTGATATTAGTAAAAATCAGTACCAAATTGACAAAAAATTGTATACTCTCTTTACTGAAAAGGGATTTCTTTTAATTATCATTGTTGAACAAATCGTCCCCTTATCCAGAGGACATAGCTGTTTGTTCTCTGCTCTATTCATACAGTTCATTCATTATTCAAGGGGGGTAATATGTTAAGGTCAGTGTGAATAAAAGAAAGACTACAATACTTACATTTTCTGGTGAATGAGCTCCTGGTCCAGGTTTCTTTGTGGTATCTCCTGGCATAACGTTTCTACTTGTCATACTATATAATGGTGATTTATCTTTATAAATACTGGGCTCTGTGGTGTTATATGTTCCTGCTCCTGGTGCCTGAAAACATGATGAGAATGAAAATAAAACTTCATAAATTTTATGCATCCAACATGTTTTTCTAAATAATATAAATTTAAAAAAAAAAAAAGGTTAATAAAGTACAAAATGCGCATTTAAGTAAAATTTCTCATGACCATCAATGTTATTTTTTTTAGAATATGTAAAGATTTCCATTTAATAACTGAGGCAGACTTTTAAATTTCCTGAGACAATCGAATAACTCTTAATGAAACAATGGTGCTTTGATTCAGTTCTGTTCCATGTTTAAAATGGAAATAAATATTAATTTGAAGACCTTTACTGTATGTAACATGAATTTATTATAACAAACACTTTATTTACCTTAGCTAAATCTTCATGGAAACTGCCAATTGTTGATCTTGCTTTCATTGAGAAAATTGGAGCTTGTTTCTGGCCACTAGTGACAGTTTTACCCAACATTGGAGTTAATGTGTAATTATTTGGAGCTGAAAATAAAAATTACTCAATGCAGTCTTCTTAATAGAGATTACTGTTACAATTCAACAAAAGTACTAAAGCCAGCACTATACTATAATAAAATTCTATGCGCTATTCTGTTACTGTAATATAAAACTAGCTATAATGAAATGGATACATAATCAATGAAGACTTGATTTATGTATGGATATTGAGTGGAGTAACAAATAAACTATCTGATACAACCTCTGCAATTTTTCAGGACTGGACACAGACTTGACCGTAAAGTACATGTTTAAACCTACAATATTTGTGGGATTGATGCAGACTATTTGAATGGTAGTCAAGGAATATTTATATTCAGGTTGGTGGTAGAAGTTTAAAGGTAAAATGTCATGTTGAAAAATAATCACTGAAAATCTCTTGCCGATCACAAAAACAGAATAAATGACCAAATGATGTTTGTAACCCTGGTTAAAATAAACATGGATGCATATGATAACCCTCTACCAAAACACTATCATTCTTGGCTGCCTACATTTACAAAGGGGTTTACAGTCCTTTGAACAAAACTCATCTAAGTTACAATTGGTAGGTAATTTACATACAGGCTGTCAATATTTAGGACTTATTTTACAAGTCATTTCTGACAAAAAAGATATCCTTGGCCCTGTGTTTTTACTAAAAATAGTTACTGTTTGGGGAAGCTTACATCTTTGAAGTTGTAAAACAAAGTTTTATTCATTATTACGAGTGACGATATTGATAAAAATGACCCAAATAGCTTACATGCATGTAGCAGACACCAACGCCTACAGATATTACAAAACTTGTATTTGCAAACAAATGTGCAACTTGGAAGACATTGTGTTAGGATAAATAAAATAATTTTCACCTAGAAAATTGATGTGGAATTTATGAAACAAATCTGAACAATACAATGTAATAGGCTTATCTTGGTAGAGGAAGGCATGCAATTTTCATGTTTCACATGAATAAACTTGACTTTGAACATCATCAAAATACTAAGCAGGGCACTCTTCTGTGTTTAAACATTAGTTTGGATAATTTTGTCATGAAATTCATCTACTTTGCGTTATTTTAAGATAAAATTAACAATACTTTATTTTTAATATAGTCTGTTTTTTTTAAATATAATTAACCCTCATTTGACGACATTACAACAATCAAGAATATAATGATGTTTTTCTGGTGAATATACAAGATTTTCAATAATTACACTCCAGTTTATATAAGGCAATAACAAAATCTTCATCTGAGAAAATGATCATTGATTACAGATAAATGTTATAATTATAACCGAAAGAGCGATCATTTTTGCATTAAAGTTTTATTTAATATCCTTTTCTGCTTGCTGTGATTAACAATAAAAACCACACTTACATGTTAAATAGTTCATATGAACTATTCCAGGAATTAATAGAAAACTTTCCTCATATGAAGCTATCCCAATGATTCAATTCCTTTTAATTATTTATAAGACCAGGTCATGGAAATTGCTGGTAATAATTAGCAAAATATTCTTTTATTAAGGGATAGCTGAGGTCAATTTTTTTATTAAGAATATCAGAGAACTGTTAAACAACAAATTAGAGTCTTTGTTGCTAATCTATGAAGTTTGACCATACACACAAGTTAAACAATCAAATCGCTGAGAAAGGTTAAAAAAGTTCAAGCTTGTAATTTGTACATGTATATTCTTTTCTTTAAGCGTGAAATATGTACATTTGAGGAAATGTATTTTCGTGACAGAACATGAATCTTAATTTGTAGGTGACTGGTGGTGTTTTTCAATAGGTATTTAATTGAAATGAATACTAGCGATAATATCTTTATTTATTTTATACTGTTTAAATTGATACATATTCAGATCACACGCAACCAGATCATTTCATTTATTCATGACTTCCATGCAAGGAAATTAAAACTCACCCAGGAAAAGTTGTAAAAAACAGGATGCCATGAATTTGATTAAATAAATAATCATTTGAGCCATATATTACTGCCATCCTCTAAAAATTAGTTATTTTTCTTCTTTTCCCAAAGTACCCTATCATATATAAAATGGGATTTGACCCCTATCATGTCTTCCCTTTTTTCCACCCATATACAAATTTCTAAATTTTGGAAACATGGTAGTGGTCAGTAAAATTAATATTCTCAAAAATCAAAACTGTTAAAAAACACCTTTTTTCTAAAATTGACTTATATCAGAGTTATCTCAAGATAAGACCAGACTATATTGGTTCATGTTTTAAAAAATTCCCTTACAGGCTATCCCTGATTCTCATTAAGATAATGGTATGATAAGATGTATATGACTGTAAGCAACTGATTTTACAACATTGAACTCTGAATGGAGAATTTCACCATTTTATAAAGCATTTCATTTTTTTTCTGTCTTGTGCATGTCTTACCTGTCTTTCTGTGAAAAAAGATTGATAATTTGATATGTGCAAAATTGTCCATATTAACTCATTTGAAAAAGTCCTATTTTTTTTTATATTTATTTAACTATATCAATCTTCTAGATAAATATTTTCGAGGCTGTGCTTAGCTGAGTCAGTTAAATTTGCTATTAAGGGATTTTATCCATTCAAGAATACTACAGTTAAAATGGTCTCATTCAAATATATATAGCTATATTGTTGTGTTCTTTATGTGAATCTCCAGTCTGGCTGTATAAATCTGCATATTTAACAAATGACTACACAAGCAGAAAACTATCCATCTTCAGATGACTTTCGTGAACTAACTTATGTTTCTATCAGAAATGTATAAAATTAAGAAAAGCTGCAGTTGAGAAAAATACTTCCAATGAAAATTTACATATCACCAAACAATTAAATCATATCAACATGTACGTTCTTTAGTTTTAAGTCTGTGGTTTACAGGCCCACAAGTTTATACTCCATTTTTACCTTAAAAACTGAAAAAATAAAATTAATTGGTTTTAGAACATACCAGGGTTATTATCTGTTCTCCTGTGTCTGTGTCTTGTTCCAAAGCTGTATTGTGGGTGTCTGAAGTGAGCTGTTTGGCCAACACCTTCTGGGCTGTAGGCACCGGGGCCTGGAACTTTGAACATTGTGGCATCTCTTTGCCGACTGTATAATGAATATTGAGGTGTGCCATCATTTCCGTCTCTATACACTTTTGGATTAGGATAATAGCAAGGTCCAGGACTGCAGTCATCCTTGAATTTACCATGACGAACACCAAATGGGTATGCTGGTCCTTTATTATGTACACTTCTCGGATCGTGAGTTTTCTGTCCAACTAATCCAGGTAGTCCATAACATGGTCCAGGACTGCTGTACATAGCAGCAATTGGCGCCCGGGGTTTTGTGTAATTGTAAACCATTTTGAATTTTACACGTTAAATCTCACTAAAAATACTGAAAAAGAAAACAGAAATGTTATATACACCTCTTTAACTAATAGGCTAACTATCATACAATATGGAATGCAATTATCTTTGGAGACGCAGTAGTGTTTCCCCTATCACACAAAAAGGGCATGGTAACTTCAATGAAAAAGGGCAACTAGAGCTTGCAAAAGATTAACAAAAGGGCACATAGATTATTCTAGGGCAATGAATGGTTATATTGCATTGGTAAAGTATGGACTGAAATTTGTTGATGGAATCAGAGCTCAAGATAGCAATCAATAAAAGTGTAATGTTTTAAAATATTTCAAGTTTTTAAATTTCCCACCTGTATTTGTACATGTATTAAAAAGGTCCCTGTAAATATGCCATGCATGACACTGCGGCAGATAGTCTCTAATGATCGGGTTGTAATATCAGTATTCTTCCAGGGTCCACGACTTGGGTTTAAAATTAGAGGCAGATCCTAGGTAAATTCACAGACTTATTTCAAAATTAGTCAGAATTCCTTTTCATAATTTGGTCTTTTGACAAGTAAAAAAATTCCTATACCACATACAAGAAGAGATGATTTAAATAAACCTTGAAATACCTGTTTATGTCCAGGCACCTTATTGTTTACACAAAATCTTCTTAGATTCATTTTGTAAACAAAGTTATTTATTGTGTACACAAAAATTGTTTGCAAACCACTTACAAAGCTATCTTAGCAGTTAATACAAATTTTGAGAAACTATCTTTTATTGACCACTGAAGAGCACTTATTGTAAGCAAATTGGTAATCTTGTTCAATCAAGGGTAGTAAAATTGATAATTTATATCTATATAATTATCTAAAAGTTAAAATAGTGGAAAGAAAATTTATCTAATCCACCCAAGCAGATGATAAATTTCCCATGAAAAATCAAACATGTTTATTCTTTAAAGTAACCTAATAAAAATTTATGAAAATGGCATTAACAAAATATTATTTGTATGTTCAATTCAATTTCAAATAAAACTACTGAGTACCTTATATTCTATTCTCAATATATATGCTTGCCTCCACCGAAAATAAATTATTAACTACAAATATAGTCACTAAGTGGCTTTACAAACCAAAAACTTAAACCTTATTTTGAATATATGTATTTTAAATAAAGTATGTAATTCAAAACCACATCAAATATATTTAAAAATTTTCCATTCTATTAGTCTTCTTACTCATCCATAAAACTCATAAATACAAAAGTATTTTATGCTGAAAACATGACAAATAAACATAAATGAAATTCAATTTCTTACCTTCAAATTTTTATGGCATAAATCAAATAAAAAAGAAAATAAACTGTCAGCTAATGATATCTCTCATGCTATATGTATAATTTAACTCTAATTGTATTGTGTTTGGTAATGGCTACCCAGCAACCAGTGTCACTACCTGAATGAACTTGTAAAACATTTAATTATTGGTCGATTTATTTGGCTTGTGCCAATCAATCGACCCAGCACAATTAGTGATAAAACCCAGGCATTTAATTACTTTTTTATGTGTTGGATAATAGAAAGTATTAGTTATAATCCAAGTAACACAATCAACCCTAATAAATCTGATATTGAAATATTAGTTGATTATTTGGTAACGATAATACTCAAGACATTTTTTAACAAAATAATTAACCCTAATTTGATAACCTTAAGACAATTCTTTCTGTCGTCACCAACAAATAAGTCAAATATAATCGCCACTTAATTCTGATTTACATTTGTACATAAGTATCTCTAAAATTATCAAGTTTTAACCTTAATTGAATTAATTAATATATGTTTGTTTGATTCCAGCTTGGACTAAGAGATAAATGTATTTAATGTCCTAAATTCCAGTGACAAATATTTTGTTTAGATTCTATACAAAAATTACGTCACAATAAATCACTTTTGTAGTGGAAAATGGCTTGAGGTTAGATATGTTGGGAAGGATGGATATTTTGCCTGCCAACCAGCATGTTAAATTGCTCAGTCTTTAGTTTTCTATGTTGTGTTTTGTATACTATTGTTTGTCTTTTGGTTTTATTCTTTTTTACCATGACATTGTCAGTTAATTTTAGAATTATGAGTTTGAATGTCCCTTTGGTATCTTTCGCCTCTCTTTTATAGGTGCTCAAAGAGTTATTTTGAATTTGCAAAGAGTTTGACAATCCCCCAAAATTTCTTTATATCAATTTAATGTTACCACATTGACCTGACATAGTTGAGTAAAATACACAAAAAATACTCCCCCTCCAACCTCAACTCTATGGTCTAACTACACAACTACGGAAATTACTGTGCAATCTTGGTGGCCAAATTGTATTGCCATCTGATATTTCTTTACTTTTAAGGTAATCTAAACTTCATACTTTTTTTCAAAACAAATGACAATATGAAACAGACATCAATATATTTTGAAGTTATTTTTGCAGGTGTCTGTTGGTTAGCATAGTTTCCTTGTATAACAAGACATGAAACTTGAATGTATACTATTAAGCCAATGGTAATATATTCAAAATGCATAACTATCCAGTCATCAAACTTTAAATTTCATACTAACTTGCTAAACACAGCATTGTAATTTGCATTATGATTATACAAAAAAATACTAAATGGGTGAAATATATCTTGGTTCCCTGATTTTTTTAAAATATTTTCTTTGATTAAATAATAAAATATGGAAAACATTACATAAACACAGATTAAGGTTTTTCCAAACATTAACTTTCGAAGAGCTCCTTATAGTCATTAGAATAATACATTTCCTCAAAATATACCAAATTTACAAGATTTAAGATTTTGATTACAATAGTCTACAGTATGTCACAGGAACTTTTTAAGTTTCAACATAATAAAAGGAGAATTGAGTATACACCATTGAACCAGCAAGCCAAAGACAGAAAAAAGACTGCAGAGGTAAAAAATGCATATATATTGTCTACATGTAAATCTATTATCAACAGTTTGTCTGTAAAATAAAAGTCATTTAATAAATACTTTATGGAAAATTTTATTATTGTCGTATTAATTGCACAGATATCTTAACTTTCTAGATATTTTTGCATTTGATTTTCCCCAGACTTTATTTCAACAGCACTTAGTTGTTTTACAGTGCTAAACATTACAAAAATAAGAATATGTGCTATAACTGCCAATGAGCCACTTATCCACGACTTGTTTAGTTGAATTTTGAAAGGGGAGGGGGTTTTAGTAGAAAACAAACTGATTATATCATGTACATATTGGTTTAATAAAGTACAATGTATTCACATTCACTGAAAAGACTTAAATACTAATTTGTTCCAGACTAATATTAACACCATAATGTGGATATATCTGTACTATATACTATAAGGTAATTTTATATATCCCAGATCACTCAATATTGCATATTTATTCCTGTTTAGGACAAATAAATAAAATTGAGAATGGAAATGGGATATATTTACTAACTAGGAATACCCAAAATTTGGAACATCCTTTTAATTATTTTTCAATTTCAGAGTGAGACCTTTAATTAGAGAATATCTTCACTTCAAACATAACATAAATAGTTACCCCACCCCATAATTTATCTCCACTAGAAGAGCCCATCAGTTGGCAGCTCAATTTTTTTAGATGTAAATCCAAAGCTAATTCCTAAAAATGTCTGATTGGGTTTTTTTTATTGACTAGATATCAAGGGGTTCATCATAGAGCAGCATTTCTTTGGATGACTTAAAATGGGACATGCTTTCCTACAGTCATTACCCAACAGTCTACTAACTAGAATGATAATTTAGGTGCACCCTATTCAGTATATATACACTTCTCAGCAGTTATAACCCCTCTGCCATATCTTTTTGGCATTCTATATGTCACATGCATTAATGTACTCATTTAGAGAAAGAAATAACACGGGCATGCTCCTGACGCAAAAAAAACTTTGCCAGTAAGATTATGATGAAGAACATATAGAGTTGATGCTACACAAGTTTGTCCGCCTTTTTCTGTAAATTACAGCGTTCCAGTAAAATTTTAATTCCACAAAAGAAAAATGATTGTTGTATGATGTCAATAGTACAGTGTAGCAGATTCCTAAATAGTTGTAGTAAGGTATATTGTTTTCTATGTATTTTTACTGAATCAAGATGGATTGAAATTTAGTACTAAAAGTTTCTATTTTCAGGTGACCCAGTCCATATAGGGCTATACTAAAGAAATCCGTACCCTATATTCAACCAATACTGTACCCTAACACTAGCCCAAACCCTTACCTTAAAGTACAAGGTCCCATAATTCAAAGTACAAGAAGACATAAGCTTTCATATAAAACACAATGAAACATATATTACATGAAAAGGCATGAACAAAAATATTGAGCAAGAAATTTTAACTTCAAATTATACTGTTAAGATGAAAACCTCAACAATTTAGTTACTGAATTTCAGGATAAAAATGTTTGCATGTCAACAATACACTTGCATGCTGACCTTAACTTACCACCTTGTATTCCATAAAAAAATATGAGGAGTTAATTACGTAGATTTCCCCTTGATTAGATACGTAAACAAGATAAAAATCAATTGAACGTATTAAACAGAGTATTGAAACACATAGTCATTTCATGTCTTAAAGGAGAAACACTCTTATCCACCATTTTTATGGAACACAAATTATCTAATCTATTCACTATCATGCAATTCATTTTATTTATTTAAACTTCTATAAATGCAAATAACAGTTTGGTTAATTATATTGTCTCGTGTCATGCTATCAATTTAAACTCACCTGTTATTTCAAATAAGTGAGATCCACCATGCAATAAAACTGCAGCCCTATCTTCTACAGGAAACGTTGTCACACAAACACGACACAGTCTGAGAGGAGGGACTCGTGACCAATTTCGATGAATCTGATTGGATATTTCGATAGCAACGTTTCCATCGCTACCCTAGAAACAGGGGAGACTATCGAGAAAAGTCTTCCCGCCAATAAATTACATCCGGTAAATCTAAAACACCAAAATAAGAATTGAGGTCGATAAAATGACAACGGAAAGGTACTACGCGTATTTTTCTGTGTTTCTTTTCTATATTTGATGTTCATTATTAAAGTTGCCGTTTTTAATCAACGACATGTATATTAAATACATTATTAGATAAACACTAATATTAAATATGCATCAATCATTTGACTCCATCAAGAAGAAGAAGAAATCATTCAGTGGGACCAATATATAAAGGGACTTAAAGTATTGCCTTTTGATATTGATAGAAAATATATGACCTTGACCGTGAAGAGAAAATAATGTAGAACGGATCCAGGGGGGGGGGGGGGGGGGGGGGGGGGGCTCGCCTCCCTTTTGTGGGAAAAAAATTGGTTGATTATATACGGAATTACTGAAGCATGACTGTAGCGGGCTCCCTCTTATGGCAGTCAGTGCCCCCTTATAAAAAGTTCTTGATCCGCCACTGATTATGTAGTACCGACCGTGCGAGGGCTGTATAGCCAGTCAAGGTCGTTAAAAACTCCCATCATCATCTGATTATGTATATATGGTTGGAAATAGGACGCTTCATATAGGGTGGCATAGTCTATTTTTTATTGAATTTAGTTTATAGTTTTCCGGACTGAAAAGCATTGAAAAAGTGTTTTTTTCTAAGAATTTCAGTTAATGGTTTTTTTTTATCAAAATTGTGGTTAATTCTTTATTTAGTTAATACATTTGTTGTATCTATAAATATACAAATAACATAAACTGCTAGAAATTCAATGAAATGGGGAATATTTATTTGTAAGTTTGATTGCATTTTTATGAGTTTAGAGGATTAAAGTCATGCAATCTTGGTTATTGTCTTAAGTGAATCACTGATAATTGTGACACAATTATTGATAACAACAGATCAATATAGCTCTGATTTCAAAATGAAATAGACCCTACTTGCATTCTTTTATTAAACCAGATTCTTTGTTTTCTTAAAAAAAAACTTACATCTGATTAATCCATACTAATTTACCTTTGAAACACAATTTGAAGAATTTTTGTATGCAGTGTAGATCGTAAGTTACAAACAAATAAGTAGCTGTGGGGCATTAAAAAAAATTAGTTATTGTTGATTACTAATAGAAGTTTCAAGTCGGTTCATGTATTATAATTAGTCCTAGCCATTTATTTTTTCTAGGGCGGGGATGGGTTTTCTCTCTTTGGACAAACATTTTTTTCCCCGAGATAAGTCATAAGCGATTTTTTTTAACATACAGGAATGAGATTTTTTTTAAATTCAAGGCTGGAATGACCCCCCTCCCCTTATTTTCAATAGAAATAAACTATTTGTCTCTTCCCTTCTGAAACAAAGTATATTTGTTTCAAGAAATTAAGAATCAACCATAATACACAATGAGATGATATGTAAATTGATGGGATTAACAAAATTGTGCTCACTTATGTGTATAAATAAATTTTTCATCCGTCAACTAGATATCTGTACTCTGTGTCTATCTAAAGAACTGTTGTATTTGCCTTATTGTTGACCCATTTCAACACTTTTCCAGACATTTTCATCACATTTTTTGCTTTTGATATAAATAAGAAGATGTGGTATGATGCCAATGAGACAACTTTCCATCCAAGTCACAATATATCAAGTTAACAATTATTGGTCAAAGTACGGCCTTCAACACAGAGCCTTCACTCACACCGAACAGCAAGCTATAAAGGGCCCCAAAATGACTAGTGTAAAACAATTCAAACCGAAAACCAACGGTCTAATCTATATAAAAAAACGAGAAACGAAAAACGCCTATGAACCACACCAACAAACGACAGTCTGGGAGAAAATTATTTACTTATTAATCTTTATTGGCTTTTGACTAGCTTAAGTTACTGCGTGTTCTCTTGTCATTTTAAAGATAAGAAGATGTGATATGATTGCCAATGAGACAACCCTCCATCAGAGACCTATTGACGTGGAAATTAGCAACTATATCTCACCGTACAGGCTTCTTCGATGAGCTAAACATACCACATACCAAGTTATAAAAGGCCCAGAAATGAAAAATGTAAAACAATTCAAACGAGAAAACTAAATACCTATGCACAAAAAACTCAACGTAAAACAAATATGATATACAGCAACAAACGGCAACCACTGAATTACACGGTCCAGACTTGAGACAGGCACTGACAGAATGTGGCGAAGTTAAACATGCATGTTTGGGGCGCCCAATCATCCCCTAACCTGGACCAGTGGTGCAACAGCACAATACAAGAACACAGTTTATAATACCAATACCAATACCAAATTGTTTATTATAGTGACATGTGTTTTATAATATTAAACAGTATATCAATAAGTGGTTATAATTACATGTATCAAAACCCGGCCCTTTTGAAAACAAATCATGATGGCATACTGCAATAATCGATAACCACTGCAGGCGCGGAATAAGCTATTTCGAAAAGTGGGTGTCCAATCCCCGAAACACCACGAACCGTTTACATAATTAAAAAAAAAAATACAAATAAAACAAATCTAAACTAGAGGCTCTAAAGAGCCTGTGTCGCTCACCTTGGTCTATGTGCATATTAAACAAAGGACACAGATGGATTCATGACAAAATTATGTTTTGGTGATGGTGATGTGTTTGTAGATCTTACTTTACTGAACATTCTTGCTGCTTACAAATATCTCTATCTAATAATGAACTTGGCCCAGTAGTTACAGTGGAAAATATTTTGTAAAAATTTACCAAAATTTACAAAATTTATGAAAATTGTAAAAAATTGAGTATAAAGGGCAATAACTCCTTAAGGGGTCAATTGACAATTTTGGTCATGTTGACTTATTTGTAGATCTTACTTTGCTGTACATTATTGCTGTTTACAGTTTATCTCTATCTATAAAAATATTCAAGATAATAACCAAAAGCTGCAAAATTTTCTTAAAATTACCAATTCAGGGGCAGCAACCCAACAACGTGTTGCCTGATTGGTCTGAAAATTTCAGGGTAGATAGATCTTGACCCACTGAACAATTTTATCCAGTCAGATTTGCTCTAAATGCTTTGGTTTCAGAGATATGAGCCAAAAACTGCATTTTACCCTATGTACTATTTTTAGCCATGTCGGCCATCTTGGTTCATGGGCGGGGTCATCGGACACATTTTTAAAACTAAATACCCTAATGATGATTGTGGACAAGTTTGGTTAAATTTGTCTTAGCAGTTTCAGAGGAGAAGTTTTTGTAAAAGATTACAAAAATTTACGAAAAATGGTTAAAAATTGACTATAAAGGGCAATAACTCCTTTAGGGGTCAACTGACCATTTTGGTCATGACAACTTATTTGTAGATCTTACTTTGCTGAACATAATTGCTGTTTACAGTTTATCTCTATCTATAATAATATTCAAGATAATAACCAAAAACGGCAAAATTTCCTTAAAATTACCAATTCAGGGGCAGCAACCCAACAACGGGTTGTCTGATTCATCTGAAAATTTCAGGGCAGATAGATCTTGACCTGATAAACAATTTTACCATGTGTCAGATTTGCTCTAAATGCTTTGGTTTCAGAGATATAAGCCAAAATCTACATTTTACCTCTATGTTCTATTTTTAGCCATGGCGGCCATCTTGGTTGGTTGGCCGGGTCACCGGACACATTTTTTAAACTAGATACCCCAATAATGATTGTGGCCAAGTTTGGTCAAATTTGGCCCAGTAGTTTCAGAGGAGAAGATTTTTGTAAAAGTTAACGACGACGGACGACGACAGACGACGACGGACGACGACAGACGACGACGACGGACGACGGACGCCAAGTGATGAGAAAAGCTCACTTGGCCCTTTGGGCCAGGTGAGCTAAAAATGGGGGTTCCAACCCTCGGAACACCCCGCTTGGATCCGCCAATGCACCGAATAACAGACCCCTGACTTAGGACAGGCGCATATAAAAAGTGGGGGTTAAACATGTTTGCAGGCGCACCCTCCAACCTTGGACAATAGTGCAACAGCATAACATAATAAGAACAAACTATACAAATCAGTCGAAAAGGGCTTTACTCATCAGATCGAAAAAAAAACAAAAAAAAAAAACAACACCAAAGACACAAAGTACAGATCTGAAAGCTATAGTTCAAAGCCAATAAGAGCTAATTAAAATAATCATTTTGTCTTTATTTTTTCTTTTTTTTTTTGTGGTTCGTTTAGACCTGGTGAGTCAAACAATTTCCAACTGATTTCACGCTTTGTTGTTATGTTGTGTTGTGCTGTTACATCACGGTTCCAGGTAAGTTAATGGGAGCTTGGCGTAGAGCGATCGCAGACATGTTTAACCTACTGTAGTCACAATATTCTACATGTGTCTGTCCCAAGTCATGAGCTTGTAATTGAGTGGTTGTCGTTAACTGCTGTTTATCATATTTGTGTTTCGTTAACTGGTTTGTCATAAATCATGTCGTTGGGTTTGTTTGAATTGTTCACATTTTGTTATTTAGGAACCTTTTGCAATCACACCGCATCTCCTTATTGTATACTAGTTGCAATGAACCAGGTTTGATGAAGGTTTGGGACACGAATAATAATTCTTAAGTGTTACATTTATTTTCTGTAATATTTGCAGCTATCTTGTGAAAGGAGATTTGGGCTATACGTCACATGCAATCTAACATACATACTGATTGTTAATAATTAAAAATGATTAGAACAAATATGGACACATATACATGATGGAAGAGAGCCAGAACAAAGAGGGATAACTCCATTTGTTTACCTTAACTTGTGTCTCTTTTCCTATCTGATATGGAAAGTTTTATTTAGATACAAACTATACGTCATTGAGACAGCAAAAGGTTTCGGTGTAATTTTGAGGAAGAGGGCTACGTATTGTTCAGATTTGTGCTATTTTCTTTTTTAAATCAGAATAGTTATGGCTATGTTTGATGGTATCCTATCCCCAAATCAGTTACAGTTGCTGTACGCTTGATGGTATCCTATCCCCAAATCAGTTAAAATTGTGGTATGCTTGATGGTATTCTATCCCAAATTTAGTTACAGTTGTTGTAAAATGTTACGTTATCAATTTTCCCGAAGTCTTTTACGGGATTTTCCCCCATAAATATATACATATTGTAGTGCTAAATTTATTGTGATTCAAAAGCAAGCTGAACAAAATCTGTCATTCTCATTATTCGATATTTATCATTTCCAGTACAGCAATATGTATTATGTCAATTTGAAAAAACGCAATATTTGTCAATGAATAACAATTACAAAAACATTAAAAATATATAAAAGAAATTGAAAATGGTCACATTTGGACAAGATTGTAACTCTGACAAACGGAACATGATTTGTGATAAAATATTATGCAACGGCAAATCAATGTCAAATTATTTTTGAAGAATTGATTGGACATGACTTACTTGACCATGTTTACCGGAATAATAGGCTTGGTTTATTAGCTTCTTTCAATCATAATTTTTGAATGTTCTTAGTATTGCACCATTATTTGGATAAAAGATTTTAAAGTATTTAAAAAACGCCAAGTGAGTAATCAAAATTGAAAAGTTGGTTGAGTGCAGACAACAAAACGACAAACGGTACACAGAAAACTTAAAATTTAGCATTAAACCTAACATAAATCTGAGATGACCGAAGGTGCTCTGAAATGATAGCAGATACTCACACGGCTATGGTAGAGGACACCAGATGCACTGCTCGTGACACGTAGAAATCAGGTAAAAAGTCACGTGAGAAAAAAAGGACTTGATTATGGCTATGAGAATTGGAACATTTTCTTAGTCATCTGCGACAGATATTCTGTAAATGTCGCGATGTAGGCATCCATATTTTTTTTTCGAGAGGATGAGGACATTATAAAAACCTTTGGTCCAGTAGGTTTCTTGTATCCAGCAACACCCTTTCAATAAAATCTTGAGTTGTTAAAACATTATCACTGGAACTTAAAAAGAGAGACAATACAAACAGGGCAATACAAAAAGTTGAAAAAAATACAGACAACACCTTGTGGGAAAAGAAACTAGAGTCTGTGTCGCTCACTTGTATCTATGTGCATCTTTAACAATGGCCACATTCCAACATTGTAGACTAACATATAATTCATGATTCATTTTTTATCGTGCTCTGCCGATCATTTTTACTGTTTACAGTTTCTCTCCATCGACAAATTTTTGCACCAAATAAGAAAGGATAAAAAGTATCGTCATTTAATGGCAATTACTCCTGTACGGAGTTGACTAACAATTATGGCTATGTTGACATGTCTGTAGATCTTGTCTTGCTTAACTGATTAGTTTTTCTTTTTCCACCAAAGTATGAACAAAAATTGTATAAAAGTCATCATTATAGGGTAATAACTCCTATAAAGAGTTAACTGACATATTTGGCCATGATGACATGCTTGAAAATCTCGTCCTGTTTAACATTTTTGCTGTTTTAAAGTTCATGTTATCTGTTTTTGTTTTAAGAAAGTAGGCAATAACCCATACACAATTGGTAAAAAACTAATGCCAATAAAATCCTATAAGGAGTACTGACAATATCGTCTGAGTTGACTTGTAAGATCTTGTTTTGTTCATAGTTTTTGCTTCATAAAATTTCTGTTTATCTATCAATATTTTCATGATTATAGACAAAACGCACAAAAAAATGTAAAAAACCTTCAGTATAGGGCAATAATTCCAATAAGGAGTTGATTGACGATTTTTGCCATTTAACTTATTTGTAGATATACTGTCTTGCTGATTAATTTTTCTGTTCAAAGATTCTCTCTTTCTATTATACTGTTCACGATAATAGGCACAATTGAGAGAAAAAAAAACGGTAAAAATTCGTCATTTAAGGTCATAACTCCTATGTTGACAGTTTTGACATAAACAGACAGTGGATAGATCTCATTGTACTGAACATTTCTGCTGTCATATTTTCTCTTTCTGTTTTCAAAATGATACACAACTTGCATTTTACCCACTATGTTCTATTTTGTTATCCATGATGGTCATATTAGATTAAACTATATACCTTAATTAATGATTATTGTGGCCAAGTTTGGTTCAAGCACTTTCAGAAGAGATGATTTTTGTAACAGACGACAAAATGCCAAGTGACGAGAAAAGCTCACTTGACACTTCAGTTGAAGAGAGATAAAAAGACAAAAACCATTACACAGAAAAACAAAGATTGAACAACACAGATATTAAAATATATATCTTTTTTGTCCTTAAATTTGATTTATAAGCGACACACACTGCCGATGTTTAGGTGTAAGTGACGTTACTACAGAGAACACAGATCTGGCTTTATCTGTTGTATTCTTTATTGCAAGTTGAATGAAATAGGTACTATGAACATAGCCCCCAAACTATGAATAATTCAGTGAATGGATATTATATATAGATATATAAAAGGACACTATTAGTTCTTGTTCCTTCTTGTAATCTGACTATAATCAGCTAATTTTAATCAGATAATGGGACATTGGTACTAATATACAGCATACCAAATATAAAATTGACCTTCTTTATCAGTGAATCAGCCATTTGAACCACCTTAATGCAATGTTCTCTCAGTGGAGACTGATAACAAGGGTCATAGCATTAATATCTCATGCCATTCCCTCAGTTTTTATTGGTCAACTTGAATTGTCCCTTCTTAATTGATTTAGATATTGATATTCTTAATAGTTTTCTTAAAATTCCTGTCATTAAACTATGATAATAATAAAATAAGGTACAAAATATATATCACACCTAGCTTTCCATGGTAATATTATTTATATAGTAAAGAAGTTAAGGGATTGTCCTTCCAAATCTTTCTCTAACTTTTAATAGATTAATTAAGGTTAAACTATACTTTTACTGTTAAAAAATTGTGTTTTATAATTTTTTATGTATATATTAATTTTCTTATTCATATAATGATATAATAAAGGTTGGACATTTTATCTTGTAGAAATTTACTCTGGTGTTGAACTAGAAGGTGCCTTCCTGCACAGTTCATGATGTGGATATACAATATCTTCTCCAAAGAACAGTCAAAGTTAGAATGTAGAATAACTTATCTATCAGTAGTTTATGTATGGCTTTCTTTTACATATTTTTGATTGTATGCTCTCTTGAGTCCCTTTGGTATATTTGAGTTGTGTTATTTAACATATTTTTGATTGTATGCTCTCTTTAGTCCCTTTGGTATATTTGAGTTGTGTTATTTAACATATTTTTGATTGTATGCTCTCTTTAGTCCCTTTGGTATATTTGAGTTAAGTGTTATTTAACATATTTTTGATTGTATTCTCTCTTCAGTTCCTTTTGTTTATTTGAGTAAAGCGTTATTTAACATATGTTTTATTGTATGCTCTCTTCAGTCCCTTTGGTATATTTGAGTTAAGTGTTATTTAACATATTTTTGATTGTATGCTCTCTTCAGTCCCTTTGGTATATTTGAGTTGTGTTATTTAACATATTTTTGATTGTATGCTCTCTTTAGTCCCTTTGGTATATTTGAGTTAAGTGTTATTTAACATATTTTTGATTGCATGCTCTCTTTAGTTCCTTTGGTATATTTGAGTTAAGTGTTTTTTAACATATTTTTGATTGTATGCTCTCTTTAGTCCCTTTGGTATATTTGAGTTGTGTTATTTAACATATTTTTGATTGTATGCTCTCTTTAGTCCCTTTGGTATATTTGAGTTAAGTGTTATTTAACATATTTTTGATTGTATGCTCTCTTTAGTTCCTTTTGTATATTTGAGTAAAGTGTTATTTATTTAACATATTTTTGATTGTATGCTCTCTTCAGTTCCTTTTGTATATTTGAGTAAAGCGTTATTTAACATATGTTTTATTGTATGCTCTCTTCAGTTATTTTGGTATATTTGAGTAAAGTGTTATTTAACATATGTTTTATTGTATGCTCTCTTCAGTTCCTTTTGTATATTTGAGTAAAGTGTTATTTATCATATTTTTGATTGTATGCTCTCTTTAGTTCCTTTTGTATATTTGAGTAAAGTGTTATTTAACATATTTTTGATTGTATGCTCTCTTTAGTCCCTTTGGTATATTTGAGTAAAGTGTTATTAAAAATATTTTTATTGTATGCTCTCTTTAGTCCCTTTGGTATATTTGAGTAAAGTGTTATTTAACATATTTTTGATTGCCTGCTCTCTTCAGTCCTTTTGGTGTATACAACAGGTTTTTGATAATCTCAGTTTAAATATATTCATAAAGCATAGGGGCAAATCAAAGCTTTACATATTTTAAAGTCAACTTTCTATTGTTGAAGGTTGCAACTTTTTATTTGTGTGTCATTAGGATACTGTCTCTGACATATTTTATAAACTGGTATATCAAGATATTGACTATGTCAAAAGTTTAGTGAAACTAGGGAAATATGACTTCGATCTAGGTATCAGGAGATGAAGTGTTACAAATGCAAATTCAATGACATTCCAAAAATCAATTGCCTTCCATTGGTAGGCATTTATTTTAAATGGATCAGAAAACAGATGAAAATACACGCATCTGGAAAGCAACACTGATGCCTCATCTTCCATTACACTTGTAATATTGTATTATAAAACTGAGAATGAGGACACTGTGTATTATAAAACTGAAAATGAGGGCACTGATATGCAAAAAGAAAAAAATACTAGAGTTCTAATGAGGTATTTTATTAGAGCATACCATTAAACATGTAATATCATTGTTTCAAATATTTACAAAGTTTTATTCACAAAACTGTTGCTTAGCAACTAAACTGATTATGATTCAATTAAATTTTTGGCACTATATAAGAGAAACATTTGTCAGAGAACAACAATATCATCTAATAAATCAGTCTCAATTAACAATATTTACAAATAAAAATTCTATACAAATTATGAGTATTATATACAATTGGCAAATAAATTAATGTCTTAGAGACAGTATTATACAATTATTGCACTGTTTCTGTATAAAAGGAGTGTTTAAAACACATGTTCAGAATTACACTAGAGAATGTTAATGTTCACAACATGCCACTGAAGTGTTTGTTGTACAGGTCTGGATGGTGTTTCTGGAACTGTCGTAGATGCTGCTTCTTGTCTTTCAGATGAAGATTGGTGTCATCAAGGATGGTGTTCATCATTTGGACGAGAGCATTCTCTGTACAGACCTCAGACTGTTTCTGGTACTCGACAACAGTCACCTGGGTACAGTAGGTATTATCTGAAGAACAAAAGATAAACATTAAAAATCATGAAACTCATTTTTTTGTTGTTGATAAGTATAGATTGAAAATCATAGTATTTAAGTACAATAAATATCCCTTTAATCAAATTCCATTCTGATTATAATGTGGATACAAGCCTATTTTCGAATACAAAAAAATAAACAGTGAAGTTCTCTCAGTAAAAATTTTGCTTACACCCTTCAACTCAACTCAATTTTTACACCCATCAAATCAACTCAATCTAGATACTTTTTCTCATCATTCAAAAATAGTTTGATATTTTGTTGTGAATTGATTGAAAAGTTTTAAAATCTTTTCTTTTTACTGTGTTCTATTCATTCCTTTACACATTTTATTTGAATGTGTGTTTTTTGTTGTTGTTATATATTGTATTATGTAGTTACTTCTTAAAACGGCAAAAATCCTATCGTTATACAAACAAAAATCGTTATACAAAAAAAAAAACACATAATTACCTCTGACTGGTGAGATTTCCCCTGTCTTTAGGTCATCAATTCTAGAGTTGACACGATCACGGATCTCCTTGGGTACGGTGAAGATGGCCTTGACATTCTGTACCATAAAGAGGATGAGGATCCTGGCTAACTTGTTGGCAACAACCTTGTGTTTAAGGATGGCATCAGTGAAGGTCATCAACATAAGGGTCTCGTTGTTTTCCTGAAAATGATAAAAAAATATAAACATACAATTGATGAAGCATACACATTTTGCAACATAGTAATTATAGTATAAACATTATTTAGTTGATTTTAATCTCGGAGTAATTTTTTGTAATTCTTGGTTAGTTACCGGTAAAGGTCTAATAAACACAATTAATTTTGTCCATTAAAACATTACTTCTTTTTGTTACCTAGCATATAAACAATATTCAAATTCAACATATTGAGCTAAAGTAATTGACTCTTTTGATAAATTTGTCATAGGAGCTTTTATCATTTTATTACATTAATTTGCTCAGATGATCATGCTTGTTGATGAATCATAGTTCTTGACAAGAGGCCTAAATTCTTTTAGTTCATTCAATTTTCTTTTCTATTTATTTAAGAGAAAACTTATCTAATCTACATCAACAATGTTTATTTCTAAATACCTTAGCATCAATCTGAATGGACTCTTCAGAAGCGGCAGACATGAACTTGAGCAGACGATGAAGCTCCTCACGTGTGTGCCATGGTAACAGGATCATGTCGAGACGAAGGGCTTCGATAGCAATCTGTTCTTTCTGTTGTAGTACCAGGTTAAGAATGGCAAGGTGAAGATCAATGAAGCTCTCGGGTAGAAGTGGTTCGTCGACATTGGTGTAATGCTCGCTGAGAACGTAGCAGGACTGAATCTTGGAGCCTGGTGTTGCTTCACGTACAAAGTCTTTCTCTAACACAGAGATACCATTGGGTAGACACTCTATACAGTTGAGGGCGGTCTTCATGAATGGGTCCTTGACACCTGTGAGTGGGATGTTCCAGTGCTTGGAGACTACGTTGGAAATGATGAGGTTCTGGCGGACCTGTTTCTTGGTAGACTTTTCTTCGTTGAGGAGACCATCAAGGAATGGAAGATCTACAATGGTGAGCAACTGACAGAGAGCAACCTCCTTCCAAAGGTCTTCTAAAGCTGTAATATAAATAACTGTATTAAAACACTATACAGAGGGGGGTGTAAAAATACCAATTTGGAAAGTAAACAATTCTGCTGATAATAATCATAGTATTTACAAGAAGCTAAACCTAAACATAAGTTCATTTGAAAACTTTGAGAGTCATTACAAAGTTAATTTATTCCAGTAGAATAATATTATTCAAATTAGTTAAAACATTTATATGTTAATTTCATTTTCATCTACTTTTCAGTAAGTCTTAATTTATCACTAACTCAATCGATGGATATCTCTCTTAATCATAAATACAACCACTATCTATACTATTTCTAAGCTTAACATACATATATACTAATCAGTCATTTCTTTGTGGAAATAATAGTTAACTATAAATATAAACAATTGCAAACTTGTAAACCTTCAACCTGTTTATTTTACCAGTACTAAAGAGTCAGGTCTTCAATAGTTGTAATTTTATTATCTATTTTTAAGTATTTATTATTTGACAAGATTTTTGGAATCAGCTGTTAATCCTCAGCAATGAAGACATTGCAACAAGCATCATTTTTTTAATTTTACATATGGAGTATATTGGATATTGTCTCTTATACATCTACCCCATATTTTATTTATATATATGTGTGTTTTTTGTGCTTAGATTTTAACCAAAAAATATTTTACCATCAGGAGAGAAGTCTGTCTTTACTTTCAGCCTGCTTCGTTCTATGAGTGAGTTGTCTGCCTTGAGTGAGCTACGACTGCGAGACTTGAGAGACATCTGGAGGTTAACTATTTCTTGAAGAACCTGGCCCTGTTTGTTGACAGCAATGGGGTTACACAAGACATCAGCTATCAAGTCTGGTTCCATGTCTGGGTTGATTCTGAAAAGTAAATAAATATGTAATGAAAATGTACACATAATCTGACTTAAAATCTTCCTGTCAAGTTAAATAAAGTTTATCTGATTGTGAAAGCATCAATCATTATTAGTGTTGTATTTTTTCAATTTTTTGTTAACATGAAAATTTTACCATGCTCATGAAATATGTTGGATTTTATTGAATAATTAAAGTTGTGAATACTTGATTTCCAGCATTATTTAGGAAACTTCATACATACTCTAAAATACTTGAATAAAGAGCTTTATTTTGAAATTTAAAATTAAATTATTGTATGTCTCACAATGTGTATTTCATAGCTTTTTACCTTTTGTTATCGCTGTATATATCTTGATAACTTTTTATTATCAAATACAAGAAAACATTAGTTATTTGCAAATTAAAACTTTATCTTTCAATTTGAAGATATGTGAAGGTTGTAGGTCTGACAATTATTGTATAAGTCCACTGGTTCTAAATATGCCTAACCTCTCATTTTTCTGTATTAATGTTCATGCTGGTTTATATTTGCCTTGATCTCATCTTGAATACGTATTTGATATTGGTTGATTATGGTTCAGCAACCGTTACAATTTAATCAATTCTGCTTCAACTAAACAATAAAAATTTGGCTTACCTTAAACTCAAGTCTTTACGTCTTGCATCCTCCATGATGGAACACTCTTGGTCTTCATCTGAGGATTCAGCAATGGTAGAACTGGTCTCACTTTCTGTGTCGGAACCAACAAATCTGTATAACTTATGCTGACTGTCGTCGAATGACTTTTTCACCTCACTATTACGGGAACTGACTGGTGAAAACACCTGACGATCCATCAAAGACTGGCAAAGCTGCAAAATAAAAAAAAAATATATAATTTTAACTCTTAACTAGTTTTTTCAATAATTTTTATTGCATATTTCGTACATGTATTCATTTTCACATGTAATATGACTCTTATACTATAGGTATATATATTGAAAATTGTAAATTTCATTTTCATTTTTTCCACTCATTTTTTTTATTGAAGTATAAAACACTTATGCAAACTTGATCAACATTAAAATTTATTGAGGTAGTTAGTCTACAAAGGGAGATAACTCTAACTATATTTGTCTAAAAATTAAACCTATTTGGACATTAGGCTTCAGAATTATCTCATTGCTTAAGCCATACAATTAATAGCATTAAAACAGTGTATCATTTATGCTTTTATATAATCTTCTACATGTTTTTGCTAAATTTGACAAAAATAATCCTGCTTTTGTAACTATCCCATGTGTACAAATGGATTTATAACTGAAATTAAAAGTTTAACAGGCATTTCTTTGAATCATTCTAGCATACAGTAGATGAAACCTTTGAATACCTCATATTTATCTTTTATCTTTATCAACTGACACAAGAAAAAAAAAGTTTTGTGGTAAAGGGAGTGCATTTCATAGTGATCTCTAAATTTAGTATGATGTGTTTTTACCTTGCATCAAAATAACTACATATATATGTTGATAGTGTTTAATGTGAATTGTAAATAAATATTATGTACATCTAACCTATATCATTTAAAATATAGAATAAAGACATACCTTAATAGCTTTTTCTCTTGAGAGGTCAGAACTGAAGGTGTTCCTCTCACTAAGGAGGTAGGTGAGTACAACGTCAACAGCATCCTGGCCTGTGAAGCAGTTCTCGTAGGTCTTCATCTTCATACGACGACGTTTCAGCTCAACACGGGACTTGAGGTGATCGATGATCTCATTCCATATCTGTGTTGCCCTAAATGGACCTGGAAGATACATAATAAGATGGTTATTATATATAAAATATATAAATGTTTGCAACCTTGTAGACATATCATATTATGCATTTTTTTTTACTTTAATGACAGGTTTATAACATTGCGAATTGCCATAAAAAGATTTGACATGATGTTAATAATCTACTCTAATCATAAAAATCTCTTACTTTACAGATATAGTCACAAAAGACGATTTAATTGATGAGTAGTAAAAATAAGTTTTCTAATCAAGTAAAAAATATTATTATTATTATATTTTGATAAACATTATGGATTGTAGTTTTTTGTAGGATTTAACAAGAATTATCTCAATTTACAGTAAAATTAAATTAAACTGAAGTCCAGTCGTATTTCAAGAATTTGATGTGTAATGGTTAAATCAACTTTATTTAAGTATTTCGTTTACATAAAAAAAATTAAATATCTAAATTTTCAAATATTTAAGTTTACAACTTTGATCTAAGTAGTAAACATTGAATTTCTTAAGATCAAATTTAACCATTTGTTTACCTCTTCGTGAAGAATTGATGAGACCAGGAGCATTGAGAGAAACAGTACCAGTAGTTCTTGTCATGGTGAACAATATAATGATTTGAATTATCTATGTTAAATGTTAGAATGGTTTTTGAATGTCTAGACTATTGTAAAACACATATATATACTATTTGTTGAGTAAACTTATAGTCTTTCTCAGTTTTAATAGTTAAAACAACACATCTCTTTACTTCAAGCGTATTTTCTCCTTTTGAGGACTTAGTAATGTAAACATAGAAGTATAAGCTTGGGTCAACAGACTGTAGTTTTAAGATAATAGATTAATTACAAAAGTGTGCCCAGGTATTTTAGTTTCTAATTATTTCTTGATTGGCCTTTATTGTTTATTTAATAAAATCTTTACTCAATAAGAGTATTTACTATATGTGAATAAGTATTTAATTTAAAATCTCTTCTCAGAAAATGTGTTGTTTGTCTCAATTTTTGTTTAAAAAGTCATCCTATTTTATTTGGATATCCAGAAAGCACTATTTTTTCTAAATAACTGAAAATATGTCATTTAAGCATATTAATAGTTAAAATATTTAAACAATTTTTTTTTTATATTTCTATTGAATTATATTTAAAAAAATTTATGTTTTCACTTTACTTATATTAAAATTTAGCATTTAATCATTGAAATATATAAATCATATCAATAGAATTTTGTATTCATTTACCACGTTTCTTTAACATTTTTGAAAATAATAACATATTTTTTTGGAAATTAGTTGTTAACTTTGTAAAAAAATATTTAAATAAACAATTATAATACCTTGAAATATGGACTGCACCATACTGTAACTTTTGTTATATATATATATATTTTCAAGTGATTATCTTCTGGTCTCTCTTAACTTTTTTTACAAATGATATAAATCTTCAATTCCTTTATATATAAAGTTTGAAACAGGAAACATTTTGTCACCTGAGTATTCAGAGGGGTCTACTGGTGTTAAAATTGGTATTGTAAGGATAATTTTATCACCTCAAACAATGTTTGTATATTACAGCCAGGAGGTGCCACTGTTTGTTTGACAATAAACATTACCTGAATAATTACATGTATCCTGTGACAGATTAAAGACAATACCTGGTGTATTGAACAGGTGTGAAAACAGGAGTTGTAACAATGTAATTATCTTATCACTGCAATTTACATAAGTGTCATCAAAATATTGTACTTGTTAATACATGAATATGTGGTGTTTTAATTATTTCCTTTTAACCTCCTTGTTTTAACTATGTCAAATACACTTGAAATTCAAATTATACAAGTTTTTTTTTTTAAAATAAATACAATTAAAAACAATTTCCAAATCAATTCAGGTCAACTTTCTATTCTGTATTTAGCTTATTGTCATATTAGATAAAATAAAACCTAAATTTTGTATTTTATATTAAGCTTATTGTGATTTTAGATAACACAAAATGTATTTATATTCAGCTGATTGTGATATAAGATAAAAAAACCCATATATTTAATTTTTTGTATTCAGCTTTGTGATATTAGATAAAACACTTTGTACAACTAGTTACTATTTCAATTTATTTATTATCTTTTTGATAGTTAGTTCATAATTCGGAATTTGAGCTTCATTTGCCTTATTTTAAAGCTTTGCTGTGATTATTTTGTGTTTCTTTTTTTAATGGTATTGAACTACTGTTGTGTAAAACCACATGATCTAATGTTTAAGGTGACCTATGTATATATATATATAAAGATTTCATTAATTAAAAGTGAAGAAGGGTATAACAGTCCTTCAAACTACAAATATTATTGAAACTACCTGCTGCCATATATAATAAGAAGATGTGGTTGAGACAACTACTATCCAAATGACATGGATGCAAGCAACTATAGGTCAACGTATGGCCTTCAACAGCAATTTTATGTTAATGCATAGTGTGTTGTTTTTATGATAATTTATATTTTTATATTCAGGAAAATCTTGTGTAGAGCTTGTTTGTATGTTACAGTTCCATGACAAAGTAAAACTAGAGGTATTCCCAGCAAATCTCAGTAAAACTAGAGGTATTCCCAGCAAATCTCAGTAAAACTAGAGGTATTCCCAGCAAATCTCACAAAATCATACCACAGCCCCTTGCAAAATCCATAATTTGCTTTGGGTAACCCCTAAAATATTTTGGAATAAAAACATTTGAATTATATGGTTTCAAAAAAATTATAATACATTGTAACAGGTTTAGGATACAAAATGGGTATCCCTCAAACGAAGCAATAGCAAAGACCATGTTTTGGTAAGGGAAACTCTAAAAAGGATCTACCAAAAAAAATAAAATGTGGTGCACAATAGCATTATGAATATGTGGTGTTTTCTTTATTTCCCTTAAACTATAATGAAATCTTCAACATGGTTAAGCTGTGAAAAAGTTTCAATAAAGTGTAAAAAGGGGTTAAGGAGGTTTTGAGGATACAAAATGGGATCACTCAAAATAAAGCAATGGCCAAGTCAATGCTTTGGTATTAAGGGAAACCAGAAAATATTTCAGACCAAAATTCACAATAAGAGGTACACAATAACATTTTATGATAAAGATTCTGAGAAAGTTTCATTAAATTATGATTAGGGGTTTAGGAGAAGAAGCATATACAAATGAGTACTTTAGAGTGGAGATATAAGTACATGTCATCCCCCAAAAAAACTAAAATTAATAACTGAAATAGGAAGTGCAAAAGTACATCATGTGAGTAAGATTCTGTGAAAGTTTCAGAAAATTCTGTTCAGAGGTTTAGAAGAAGTTGAGGACATTAAATTGGGACAGAAGGACGAAAGGAAGGATGCACCAACTCCCACCTGTCATTGTATAACACTTGCTTAAGAGAGCAGGGGTGTAATAATGTTTTTTTTATGTCTATTATCAGTTTTTAAATCTGTAAAAAATCCTTTTGGTTAGGTTAATATGCCTGGTATTGTCAGTCATCTTCGAATTTAAATTTTTTTTACTTACAAATGAATACATTGTAACAGGAGATGTTGTGTTTAAGTTAATGAAGAGTATTGAGACAGCAACCCAACAACAAAAATTATCAAAAGACCAGCTGAGTTCAATCATTAAATTTGTATTAAAAGTAAATTTTTGACTTAGTATTAAGCTGCAATTTTAGAAGTTAAAATTTTTGACCCATCTTTTTGATTTGATGTGATAAGGACATTGTTTTTATTCCTGAATTTGCTGCTCATATAATCTTTTTTTTTTATCCTGGATACCATGCATCTATCTTTGAAGATCAGAACAAAACACAAACCCTCAGATAATTGCTGAACCATTACTAGGTATAAGAAAAAAAAGAAGAAAAAGACCCAATGGCTTTTTTTCACCCATCAGGGGATAGAAAAAACAAACTTTATATTTATTTCTCCCCTTCAACCAAACCAGATATAATGTTTTGAAACTTTGTTAAAAAACAAAAATGTAAACATGTAAATGGCATACATTAGTATAAAAGTCAAGAGTATAATGATAATGTTTAATCTGGGAATAGTATATTTTGTCCCAGATTTAATACAACTGCCAAAAAAAACACGATAAAATAATTAATATTAAACATTTTTATCAACAGGCTGATTTCAATAATGATCTGTTCTTTTGCATTTGAAAAATATTTCTAATAGATGTAGGGAAATTGTTCCTGTGGAATGGTCAAGAATACACTTTTAACATGTTCACAATTGGAATTTTAGTTGAGGATGTATGAGGGTTCTTTGAAAAGCATTTCTCGAGGGGTATGGATTTCTGTTTGAAACATTATGAAAACTGCTACTAAGATATAAAAGGGCATACTTTTTGATAGACTTGAACGTCATCACAAACTTGTGTCATTTTATTCTCTGTTCAACATTGTACGAGGCCATTACTTTTTTTAATCATAATTCTTTTGACACTGGTTTACAATATTTAATGTGAGGGTGTATTATCAATAAGACAGTGTGTTGCATAACATCATGACCTTAATCTATGACCTTACGTTAAAAATTAAATTTTATTTTTTACATTTTCATGTCCAGAACATATTTTTTTATCCTTTGACATATGCTTTTGATATCTGGATTCCAGATTCTGGAACATGGATGCAGTACCTCAAGACAACACATTCCATGGAAGACCTTTAAGATAAAATAATTGAATTTTAAAAGGTGTCCACCCCAAAACCATATATATGAAAACTTATATTCTTGCTTGTGGCAATGCCATGGCAAAGCCTTTTCAATGCAACAAAGGGTTTCCCCTGGGAGGTCATGCCTATCCCTTATATAATATATCCTTAAATATCTCAAAAATTATTCAGATCCCACCAATAAACCATATATAGTCTTAATTCCCTTGTCTAAACACTGCTCAGGACATCCTATGGGCACTCAGGACATGTAATAGATGTTTTAGTGAGTGTTTTTTTTAGATGTACCGTTGTAATTCACCCCTGCATATAT